ATCCTCCATCTTTGTAAAGCCGTGGGGTGTAGGGTACTCGGCAGGCTTCATTTCATAGGCCTGCTCTACAAGTCTATCGTCCATGCTTAGGTTGAGCGACTGAAGCATAGCATGTGGGATCTGTGCAAGTGGGGGAGGGAGACCTTCCCGGGCTCTCAGCCAATCAGTTTCGGCCGTCGGAATCTGCGAGATGTTAGTACGTAATAGGGCTCCTCGCAATGCATATCATCAGGATACTTGGTGGCTGTCCATCTGCTGTTCCCACTGAAAAAAGCGTTAAAATTGATTTCTCGGCGAGTTCGGGTAGTATGAGTCTTAAAAATAGCGAAAATCGGTCGTAGAGTAGAATTATTCATGACCCCGAACTCAGCGACCAAACATACAAACATGTGTGTTGTCATGGGGGCAGGGCAACGCACGGCTCCGTGTGGAAGGCAATCATGGACCCACCTGCCTTGGTCCCGGAATTTCATTCTTACTAACTGGTGATCATGTGCCCTCAGCACAACGGCCGTATGCGATTGGTGAGAAGTCTGACGGTGAGCGTCATATGTTAATAACCGACAACCAGTCCCAAGGGGTGTATTTGGTCGATCGGCGCTTCAACTTCTACCGAATCCAACTGTAATGTGCAAACCACGTCTAGAGAGGAGTCTTCCTATGCAGGCACTTGCCTAATAAGGACCACACTGGCATGATCAACACGACCCTTCTCGATGGTGAAGTAGTTGAGGATGGTCACGATACCGAGGAGAAGACCGTGAGGTGAGTGGCGCCATTCTTTTGCCATGTAGACTCCTAAAGTAGGTTTTTAGTCTACGATGCTGTAGCCGTCGATGGGCAATGCGTTCGGGACTTCAATTTAATGCGCCGACTACAAGCAGTAGGAAAGCAACACTCACGAACTGCTGGTCTAACTGCATTCAGTTCCTAGAAGGAGTCCTCATGCCTAGACGACAGCTCCCACCGGAGAAGAGAGCCAATGATGCATTCCAAGTGTACTTGAAAGATTTCTTCGAGGTCCGAGAATAGCTTCCATCGGTTAGTTGCTCGTATCCTACACATGAACAGGTAACCGACTGCGATACTGTGATGAACTTCGGCAAGCGAT